GGTGAAGGTTTCATGAGAAAAGAGAAAAAAAATCCAAAAATCAGAAGACTAGAACAAAACTCAAAAGCTACATATTTTGGTGTCCTCGAAGTATCAGTATTGCATGAAAACATTATGCTAATGTTCAAAAAACGAGAGCAAAATCCGGATTGTGAGATAGGTTTGGAAAAAGATCTAAATCTTTTGATGTTGAAGCAAATCGGAGTCTATTGCAAAAAGATCTAAATCTTGATGTTGAAGTAGTCGGAGTCAAAGTGATGCAATCTCACGTACCCGTCTTCACCTCCACTCGAGAAACTTCAAAAAAAAAAACACACACTTCACAAAATCAGCAACAAAACCCGAAAAAACCTCGACATGTAAAGAATGTACTTAATCAATCAAATGAATCAAATTTTGTTAGTTTACCTCTTCCCATCAGGATTGAATGCCAAGGCATTTATAGGTCCAAAATGACCTTTCACACCACCAATTTCCTCTTGCAGAATCTACATATTACAAAACCAAACAGAGTTATATATATATATATTTGTTTTATTTTCAAGTAAAAGCTTCTTACTGTAACACTGACCTTATCATAGAATTTGGCTTCGAACTTTCCAGCACGATGATCAGTGGTAGTGACAGCTGATGCATCTTGACCACCTCCAATCACAACCTAAGGGAGAGAACAGAAACATTCACAAAGATAAACATAACGACTTGTTGATTTTGGCAAATCAAATTTAAATTTCGTGGAGCGTTAGTACATACATGGTTGAGAAGTGGAGACATGGAGACAGCATTTACGGGGACCCCAGAAATGTATGTCTTGATGAGAGTAAGTGTTCTCATGTCCCACAGCTGAAAGAATAATAAAAAATGGACACACTCTTATCACAATAATTCCCTCTACATGTCTATATAGTGCACAACTTTGTAAGAAGAAAAACAAAGGAACACATGCCTTTGCAGTTTTGTCAAGTGACCCCGTAATAAAGTGAGAATCATCAGCTGCTTTGCAAAGCGATGTAATGGTCTTCTTGTGACCATCTTCCACATTTGATTCCTTGAGCAATTTTCCAGTCTAGCAACAACGAGAGCGGTTAAAAAGCAAAATCGATACACAAGAAAACACTTGAGTAGAAATCAGAATTACCTCAGAATCCCAGATTCTGATCACGGCATCTTCACCACCGCTAACAATGGTTTGGTTCAAAGGACCCCAAACAGCTCTGTTAATCCTCTTCCTTCCCTCAGGACTTTCAAGGACAAGCACAGAATCAGCAGTCTCTACACAATTTGCATCAAACAATTGCCTTTCAAACACATTACAAGACACAAGGCTTAAAAACAAAACAAAACTTAGTCCATTTACTTACGGTCTTCGGGATCTTCCGAAATACGCTTGACGTGAATAGCAGAGGTACGTTCCATAAAAGGATCAGTGGTAATCACTGCAAGCTTATCACCAATAGCAAAATCCACAGACCTAGCCGGAGAACCAAACTTGAATGTGAAGTATTGTTGTCCAGATTTCACATCCCACAGCTTTGCAGTCTGATCAGCACTACCAGTGATCAATCTCGAAGAATCTCCTAATAAAAATTCACAAACATATCACTAAAAATTCAATCTTTCAAACACTAAAACAACAAAATTGTTTCTGAAATCTGAATCAATCTCACAAAATCAAGAATCTGTGAAACACTAAAACAAAAGGGTTTCTATATCGCATCAACAAAACCCTAAAACAAAAACCTTTACTGCATCTGATTCAATTTCATAAAATCAAGAATCTGTGAAACACCAAAACAAAAGGGCTTCTATAAAAACCCTTTTACTGCATCTGATTGAATTTCATAAAATCAAGAATCTCGAGACTTACTGGAGACATCGCAGCACCAAACAGCACCATTGTGACCACGGTAAGTTCCGAGACGTTCTCCATTATCGGCATACCAGAGGGTAGGAGTGTGATCCTTAGCGCAAGAGAAAAGCAGATCTCCATCTCTGTTATACCGAAGAAACGTCAAGGGACGCTCATGTCCCTTCATCAAAATCGGCCTCATCTTCACCGATCTTCTCTCGTCTTCTAGGGTTTGATAATATAAATCGATGAAGCGGAGGAAGAAAGAAGCAGCTACGCGAATAAAAACCTAGCGTCGAGTTTTCTATTGGGCCCAAAATTGTTTTGTTCCGTTTTTATTGGGCCTGAACCCGTTAAGACAAATCCGTTACAAACAAAAAAAAATTGTAAGAAGAAGAGAAAAAATAGACGCCACGTCAGCAACAAAAAAACGGCGCGCGTGAGTTTCGGACCAAAACGTTTTCTTCTCCATT